GGGGTCTCCTGGTTCCTCCTGGTCACCGTTGTCCCTTCCATCTTCCCTTCCCTTTGGGGCTGAGTTGGACCAGGAGCTCTTTGTCCTCCTCCTGTCGTGAGGGGCCCAAAACTGGACCCAGGCCTCCAGGTGGGGCCTCACCAGTGCCCAGTCCAGGGGGACGGTCACTGCCCCAGTCCTGCTGGCCACACTACAGCTGATACTGGCCAGGATCCTTGGAGGAGCTCACCCCTGAACATCAAGCAGTTTCCTTCGAAGACCTGCGCAGGAGAAGTTGGCCAAGAGTGACTTCACCCGCTCAAGGGGGTTTGCTGTGAGAAGAGACCAGAGCAAACCGGGGGTTTGAGCCAGTGCCACCTTCTGCTGCCTTCTGTCCCCCACCCACCCACGAGCTGGAAGAGAAAGAAAACCCAAGGAAACCCATTTTGGAAACACCCTTCCCTCCAGGACCTTATCCCAAAGGATTCTTCCAAGCACAGCTTTGAAGAACTCAAATTGCTCTCCTGACCTTGCTTGTCACCCCCCTTCTCCTCAGCATCCCAAGCTCCACCATCCCATGGTCACCGCAGCCCAGGGGGACCTTCACATCCCGTCCATGGTGTAGACGAGCACCCGCGGTGGACAAGTATCTCCACCTTAATTGAGTTGTGAGTGTAGACCCCCCCCGGAGACCTCACAACACCCCCAGCACATGGAGGTCTCTGCTGGTTGTGTTCCCAAAGCACATCCTGGAATCGTTTTTAGTAATTAGCGTTGAAAGGCCTTATGGATATTCCCATGGATAACGAGGGCTCCATCCTTGGATCTATCAAGCGTGAGCTCATGAAAATCACCTCTAATGGAGAGGTACAAGTGTTGGATCGTTCTCAAGGCGGCACATCCAGCAGGAGGACCTGGAGGAAGGTACTAATCTGCCCATTTGGAGAAGCTCAGCCAATTTGGCAGGAGAGAGACAATTCTTAAGTGTCTGAAGATCAACCACCTTCAAATTCAACCAGGGCGAGTGCAGGGTGCTGCACCTGGGGAGGAATAACCCCCTGCACCAGGACAGGTTGGGGGTGACCTGCTGGAGAGCAGCTCTGAGGAGAAAGACCTGGGAGTCCTGGTGGACAACAGGATGGCCATGAGCCAGCAATGGCCCCTTGTGGCCAAGAAGCGCAATGGCATCCTGGGGGGCATCAGGAAGAGTGTGAGCAGCAGGTGGAGGGAGGTCATCCTGCCCCTCTGCTCTGCCCTGGGGAGGCCCCATCTGGAGCACTGGGACCAGTTCTGGGCTCCCCAGTTCAAGATGAACAGGGAACTCCTGGAGAGAGTACAGCAGAGGACCGCAAAGATGATGAGGGACCTGGAGCATCTCTCTGATGAGGAGAGGCTGAGGGACTGGAGAAGGGGAGACCTGATCAACACCTATAAATACTTAAAAGGTGGGTGTCAAGAGGATGGGGCCGGTCTTTTTTCAGTGGTGCCCAGTGACAGGACAAGAGGAAACAGGCACAAACTTGAATATTAGAAGTTCCACCTCCTCCATGAGGAGGAACTTCTTTCCTGTGAGGGTGACAGAGCCCTGGAAGATGCTGCCCAGTGAGGCGGTGGAGTCTCCTTCTCTGGAGACATTCAAAACCCCCCTGGACACGTTCCTGTGGGACCTGCTCTGGGTGGACCTGCTCTGGCAGGGGGTTGGAGGAGATGATCTCCAGAGGTCCCTTCCAACCCCATGTGAGTCTGTGATTTCCCTGCCAGGATGGAGAGCTGGGGCTCCAGCAGCTCCTGGGAGTTGGGTTTTCTGCCTTGGCTGGTGGAGCCCAGGGTGCAGGGCTCGGCTGGAGGAGTTGGGCTGGAGGGAAATGGGAAGGTCTCTTTGTGGCTGATGTGGTGTTTCCTGGGGATGGTCCATTTGTCCCTATGTGTGTGTGTCCCTCCCAGAGCCCTGTCGCAACTGTGGTTTTGGGTCTCTGTGGTGTCCTTGTGGGGTGGTGTTGGTGCAGAGAGCCTGCCTTGAGGCACCAAAGCTTGGCCACTTGCTGCTCCTCTGCCAGGCTTTTTTGTGGGAGACGTGGGGTCATTTGGCATCAGGGCTCTCTGGATTCTGCAGATGTTGGGATGGGTTTGGTGGCGTGAGGAGCACATGCCCAGCCCCATAGCCCCCTGAGCACCCTGTGATGTGTCTGGCATGGGGTTGGGTCATGGCTTTTGAGCTGGGTCCATCCCTAACTCAGGGCAACCCCGGGCTCTTCCCCCAGCCTTGGGCTCTGTCCCTCTCCTCTCTCTGGAGGCTTACGAGGATGGAGGCATCCGGGTGGTGTGTCGATCGGCCGGCTGGTACCCGTTGCCGCACGTGCTGTGGAAGGATGTCAGCGGGCAGCATCCCCCCTCTGTCTCCCTGAGACGTTCCCGCGATGAGAGGGGCCTCTTTGAGATCCAAGATGTCATCGTTGTGAGCGGGAAGGGAGAGGGGAACGTGTCGTGCGTGGTGAGGAACAGCCGCCTGGAGCAGGAGCAGGCGTCGTCCCTGCACATCTCAGGTACAGGATGGCAGCAGGGCTGGGGTTGGCCACGCTGCTTGGGGGGGTTTTGTTCTCTGGAGGCAGGATAAACATGCCGGGAGTGCAGGAAGGAAAGGGGGGTGTAAAAGGAGGCGTTTTCTCAATGTTTTTTTGTTTCTCAGCTCCCTTTTTCCACAATGCTCGTCCCTGGATGGCAGCTCTGGGTGTCTTCCTCCTGCTTTCCGTGGTGTCAGCTGTCCTCAGTGCTTACTTCTTCCGAAGGAAAGGTGAGTTTGCATCACCACGATGTTTTGCCTTCATTATGGAAGCTCTTTGTGCAAAGGGAGGATGGGGAGAAGGACATGGGCTGTGGATGGGAGGAGAGGGAGCATGGGCAGAGCATCTGGCTTGTGGGAAGGTCCAAGAAGCCCTGGGGAGATGGTGCCAGGGATGAAGCAGCTGCTCTCCTGACCTCCTCTTCCTCTGCCTTTGCTTTCCAGTGGTGCAGTCCAGAGCACTGGGTGAGTCCTTCTGGCCCCTGCCACCAGCAAAGCCTCCCTCTGGGAGGGATGTGGATTTGCATGTTTCTTGCTGTTTCTCTGGTCATTGATGTGTGTTGCTGGAGCCCAGAAGGGACCTAGAGAGCCCTGGGGTTGGGAACTGAGCCCAGGAGGTGTCCTGGGTCATGGGAAGAAGCAGGGACCAGTACTGACTGAGCTTAAATCAGGCTGAACCTTAAATCTCTGCTGAAGTCAGGCGTAACTGCAGAGTGCGTGGATGGTCTGGGGTGGGGATCGGAGGGCAGGATCCCCTGCTGTGAGCCAAGGGGCCTTTTCCCATTTCCCAAAGAGAAGGAATTTGGGCTCAGCCCGTACTCTGCCTGCTCACACCATGGGGTGAGAAGCTGTCCCCTCTCATCACTCATTGATTTTGTTGTTTGTTTTCCAGCAAAACGAGATGCAGAACTGGGTGAGTCTCCTTGAGCTCCTTCTGGCTCAATGTCCTCTTCCGGGTGCTCTGGGCTCGGCCCCTTCCCCCCTTGCCCGTCCTCTCCATCCCTGCATCCCCTGGGTCCATGGAAAACCTGGGGGGAGGTGCCTTGGTGGACGGGTGGCTTGGGGCCACCAGAGTAGAGATGGACACTCTCCCCTCTCCAGAGTCTCTGGGGAGAGTTTGTGGGAATTGATCAGGCTGGAGGAAGCCATCCTGGGGACCCAGGGAGTGCTTTCCCACTCCCCAAGAAAGGAGGAGTTTGGGGGTTCCCCATCTCTACTTACTCCTTCTTGAGCACTTTTGGGATGAGAAGCTGTCCTCTCTGACCAAATATCGCTTTTGCTTTCCAGAGGAACAAGCTGCACTGTTGGGTGAGTCTCTGTGAGCTCCTCCGGGCTCCATGTTCTCCTCCTGGCCCTCTATGCTTACCCTTTCCCACCTTGCCCGTCCTCTCCACCCCTGCATACCCCGGGTCTGAGTAAACAACGAGGGGATATGCCTGGTGGGGTGGGCAGCTTGGGGACACCAGACCAATCTGGACCCTCTCCCATGCCCAGAGTCCTTGGGGACCAGCCATGGGGCATGACCAGGCTGAAGGGAGGCATTCACAAGCTTTGGGGGTCTGTTCCCATTCTCCAAAGAGAAGGAGTTTGGGCTCAGCCTGAGCTCTGCCTGTTCATGCCGTGGGGGGAGAAGCTGTCCTCTCTGATCAGTCATTGATTTTGTTTTTTGCTTTCCAGGGCAACAAGATGGAGAACTGAGTGAGTCTCTGTGAGCTCCCCTGGCTCAGGGTTGTATCCCGGGTGCTCTGGGCTCGGCCCCTTTCCCTCCTGCCCCTCCCCTCCATTCCTGCAGCCCCTGGGTCTGCTGGGCAAACCCTGAGGGGAGGTGACCTGGGAGGATGGACAACTCAGGGACACCAGAGCAGAGATGGTCCCTCTCTCATCATCAGAGTTTCTGGGGTGAGTTTGTGGGACTTGATGAGGCTGGAGGGAGCCATTCACAGGGTCTGGGGGTGTTTTCCCAGTCCCCAAAAAGGAGGAGTTTGGGATTTTCCCACTCCTCTGGTTGCAGGTGTGAGGAGAAGCTGCTCCCCTCTGATCACTCATTGTTTCTGTTTATTCCTTTCCAGAGCAACGGGATGCAAAAGTGGGTGAGTCTCCATGAGCTTCTTCTGGCTTTGTGTCCCCTCCCGGGTGCTCTGTGCTCGGCCCTTTCCCCTCTTCCCCATCCCCTCCATCCCTGCATCCCCCTTTGCTGTGGGCCTGCCTGAGGGAGGTGCCTGGGGGGTTGGGCAACTCGGGGACACCAGAGCAGGGATGGACCCTCTCCCCAGCCCAGAGTCCCTGGGGACCAGCCGTGGGACATGACCAGGCTGGAGGGAGCCATCCCTGGGGGGACCCAGCAAGTGTTTTCCCACTCCCCGAAAAGGAGGAATTTTGGGGATTCCCCAGCCCTGTTTGCTCCTTCTTGAGCACTTTGGGGATGAGAAGCTGTCCTCTCTGACCACATATTGCTTTTGCTTTCCAGAGGAACAAGCTGCACTGTTGGGTGAGTATCCGTGAGCTCCTCCTGGCTCAATGTCCTCTCCTGGGCCCCCTGTGCTCTGCCCTTCCCTCCCTTGCCAGAGCAGGGATGGGCCCGTTACCATTCCCACAGCCACTGGGGACCAGTGGTGGGATGTGACCTGCTCCTCTCTCTCCTTGTAGCTTGGAGAAAGTTTCTGCTTCCTGAAAATCCAGGTAATTGGCTATTTGATTGTCTTTTATGTTGGTTGATGGGTCATTCTTCTCCCTTTTCCTCTGTGGGAGGTGTAACTTGGATGCAGTGAAGGGACTGGCCATGCCTGGGCATGTTGGTGGCCAATACCTCCCAGACCTTGCCACTGGGATGTATCTCACCCCATTTTCTTGCCATTCCACCCCATTCTGAACTACATTCTGGAGCCCCAGAGGTACCATCTACCTCCAAGGCCCCACCAGTGCCTCTTCCCAAGGGTCTGAGCTTGGGTGTCGTCATGCTGTGGCCGGCCCTGTGGTGGGGCTGGAGAGGAGGAAGGAGATGCCCACTCTCCTGGCCTTTGGGGCACATCCTGTCACTGGGGGGGTGAAAGCTGCCCAGGACTGAGCGCTGATGCTCCTGCTCCTCCTGTCCCCTGCAGACGTGGTGACCCTGGATCCAAACACGGCTCATTATCAACTTGTCCTGTCGGAGGATTTGAGAAGTGTGAAATGTGGACCCACGCAGCAGAACCTGCCTGACACCTCCGAGAGATTTAGTTATTGGTGGTGTGTGCTGGGCCAGGAGAGGTTCCTGGAGGGGAGGCACTGCTGGGAGGTGGAGGTGAAGAGGGAGGTGGGAAGTGATTCAGAGTGGGCTGTTGGAGTGGCCAAGGAGTCCGTGGAGAGGAAGAGGACAATGTTACTGAGCACTGCAGTAGGTGTCTGGGGGGTGTGGTACCGGGGAGGGCAGTTCACGGCTCTCACCTCTCCTCGCACAGCCCTTTCCAAATCCCTGGTCCCCAGGAGGATCTGGGTCTGTCTGGACTGCACACGGGGGCTGGTGACTTTCCTCAATGCCGACACCGGGGTCGAGATCTTCACTTTCCCACCAGCCTTGTTCCATGGGGAGACCCTGAGGCCCTGGTTTTGGGTGGGAACATGGAAAACCCAGCTGTGCCTCAGGGGCAGCACCCCCTAGACCCTCATCCCCACTTCCATCCCCACCATAGCCTCTGGCAGACCCTGTCCTTCTCCAGAGACACCCCGCTCTCCTCTCCTGGACTCTGCAGGAGATGTCCCTCCCTGCTCTGTCCCAGCCTGGGGAGCAGAGGGGGAGTGAGGGCAGGAGACAGGGGTTGGTGTGGTGCCCCCCGGTGCTGGGAGGCTCTGAGCAGGGGTGTGTCTGCATTTCAGCTTTGATGGAGTTAATTTTCTTTCTGGTATGGGCTGCATTTTGGATTTAGTGTGAGAATGACATTGATCACACACGATTATATAAGTGGGTGAGAAATGTTCACATCAGTTCAAGGGCTTTTCCAGCTTCCCCTCACACCTGAGAGGGAGCATGGGCACGATGAGGCAGGCCAAAGGGATATTCCACTGCACAGACATCCGTCTGGGGACAGAAACAGTGGCTGCTGGGGGGCTGGGACCCTCCATCACTGCTGGGGATGGGCTGGGCAATCAGTCCTCAGGTTCTGAGGGCAACTGGTGTTGTATCCCTTTATTTTGTATATTTTTTTACAATTAATAATGTTATTGTTCTCTATCATAAGTGTTGTCTTAATTCTAATCCATGAGCTGTTTTTCCCCTTCCTTTCTCCCTCTTGTTCCCACCCTACGGGGGAAAAGGCAGGGAATGAAGGAGTTGCTGGCTGGGCTTGAATCATGCAGGGGGGCAAGGGACCACTTGGACCGTCATGAACCCCCCTGAATCCCCTTGGAACCTCTTGGAATCCCCTTGGATTGCCTTGGATTTCCTTGGAATTGCTTGGATCCCCTTAGACCCTCTGAGGTCTCTTAGACCTATCGAACTTCTTGGATCTTCTTGAAATCCTTGGGTCTCCTTGGAACCATGTTGGAACACCCTTGAACACATTTGACCAACTTAGACCTCTGGGAACCTTTTGTATCTCTGCAAATCCCCCTCCAATCCCCTCAGATCCCCATGGAACCCCTTGAAATCCCTTGGATTCCCTGGGATCTGCCCAGCATGTACTCACCGTGAACATCCTCCTGCGTCCTGTGACCCTTTTCTGAAGAAAAATGCTTTTTCTCTACCCAATTCCCTTCCCAGTTGGGTACTGGATGAAGGCACCTGTGCCTTTTTGTTTATTTGGGGGATTTTGGGCTCTGTGTTTGACAACATCTTTGTCCCGGAGCAGCTTTAGGTGCAGGAGAAGAGGAAACTTCTGAGAGTGGAAGGAATTCCCAGCCTGGGGCTATTTTACAGTGAAATTTGTGTTATTGACAGCCAGTGCTGTGGGGACCGAGGGTGGCCCTGGGCCAGGGCCAGGGGGTGGCTGAGCCCAGAGGGACATGGGAAGGGACAGGGGGATGCTCAGGAAGGTGCTGGGGCTGTGGGAACTGAGAACAAAGCCCAGATGGGGCATCCCCGACTCCTGGGGCCGGTTCCCATGACCGGAGCAGGTTCTGATGATCGGATCTGCTCCAGGTGATGCTGCTGTGCCAGGTAATGGGGGGAAGATGCTCAGAGCTGGCTCTGGGACCCCCCCACGCAGCACCGACCCTGGAGGTTACAGCCCCTCTTTACATCCCCTTCTCCTTAGTCCCCCACCCCTAGGGCTTGATATAGGTCCCTGACACCCCTCGGTGATCATCCTGGTCCCCCTCCCCACATCTGGGCATGACCCCAAGAACCCCCCTGAAGCTGGGTATCACACCCCCCTGGCACCGACCCCTATGGGAGCTATGGACACAGCCCCACCTTGAACCCTCCTGCACCCCTTATTTTGCACATAGGCTCCCTATGCAGAAGGTGGGACATTGGGGACAGCAGGGGACATGTCCGCCCCAGACACCTGAGGTCCTCATGGTGACAGGGCACAGCTGGGGTGTCCCGACACTCAAAGCCCCTGCCCCCAACCCCATCTTGTCCCTTCGTTCCTGGCTGCCCACAATCTCCTGGCTGTTGTGGGGCTGCAGGGACACTGCTGGGCTCCTCCCCCATGTCCAAAAAGCACAACCAACCTCTCATCACAATGTCCTCACCCCCAAATGCAGGTCTTTTTCCTTCCTCAGTTCTATTTTTTCCTACCAGAAACCCAGAAGAAGGGATTCAGGGTAAATTTCAAGTTGAGGCCAAAATGGCCCATGATGGTGACAGGTGCTCTCCCCCCACCTCTCACTCCCCGGAGAGGAGGAGGAGAGAGAAAAAGAGATTCACGAGTTGAGCACGAACTAAACTTCTTCAAGGAGATATTAATAATAAAATAAAAAGGAAAGCAATGAAATAGATACAATATCTACAAACCTGCATCAAGATCCCAGGATTGAGGCACGGCAACAAACTCTACAACTCCCGGAGAGTTATAAAGCAGGGATGTTTATTGCAGCGCCGGGTGCCAGGGGGATTGCTCCTCCCAACTTGCACACCGGGTCCTAAAACAAGTGTCCATTTATGGTAAGAAAGTATATATATTCATTAATAGGGGCTGGGTTATTATAATCAGTTCCAGGAATAGGCATAACTCTTGTAATTATTTATGAGAACTCATTATCATTTCTCCTTTGTGTGTTTACAAGACAAGGCCAGTTCCTCACTCTGGAATGCTGGGCTCCCGGCTCTCTTATTTGTCAAGCTCCACTAAATCGACACTAACAACGTTTAACCATTCATTCTCCGAATCAGGATGACATCATCATCAGGCACTAGGGAGCCCCAGACTGGACTCAGCCATGGGTGGGATCTGGATTCCAGCTCTGGGGTCAGGAAGGCACAGATTGGGATCAAAGGCAGATGAACAGACAGGGTCCTGCTCGGGCGCTGGAGACAGAGCTGACTCTTTGATCCCTCAGCTTTTATACGGAGTGTTGGGCAGATGGGATGGAACACCCCCTTGGTCAGTTTGGGGTTCCCCCTCTTGTCCCCTCCTCCCCTGCCGAGGCTGATCTGAGAAGTCGAATTACTAAATGGAAAGTTGTTTCAGTTTTACCTCAAACTGGGACAGGGGCTCACCCTGGTCCCCCTCCCCACATCTGGGTATGACCCCATATCTCTGGGGTCAGGAAGGCACAGACTGGGATCAAAGGCAGATGAACAGACAGGGTCCTGCTCGGGCGCTGGAGACAGAGCTGACTCTTTGATCCCTCAGCTTTTATACGGAGTGTTGGGCAGATGGGATGGAACACCCCCTTGGTCAGTTTGGGGTTCCCCCTCTTGTCCCCTCCTCCCCTGCCGAGGCTGATCTGAGAAGTCGAATTACTAAATGGAAAGTTGTTTCAGTTTTACCTCAAACTGGGACAGGGGCTCACCCTGGTCCCCCTCCCCACATCTGGGTATGACCCCATGGACCCCCCATCGAGCTGGGTATGACCCCCCCCAGTACCCACTCCTTGCTATGGGTGCAGCCCCCCAAACTGTCCTGCACTCCTTCTTTTGAGCATGGGCTCCCCATGCAGAAGATAAGACATTGGGGACAGCAAGGGACACATTGTCCGCAGGGATGTGGTGTTGCCAAGGTGACAGAGTACAGCTGGGGTGCCCCGACACTCAAAACCCCCCCCAAACCCATCTTGTCCCCTCATCCCTGACTCTCCACAACCTCCTGGCTGCTGTGGGGCTGCAGAGACACTGCTGGGCTCCTTCACCATGTCCAAAAATCACAACCAAGTTCGCAGCTCTACTTGATCGCTCACCAAAACCCCTTATTATCCTTCATTTTCCATTCTTTTTATCCTTTTCTTCATTCCTGGGACCAATGGGCTGACTTGTTTTCTTCCAGAATAGACAAATATCCTGAAATGCTAATAAAAACCCCCAAGAGATGGATGGAGCAGAGACAGTGCAGGTGGACAATTCTGGTTGGGGGTTTGCTCCTTCCTTTGGGACAACGGCCATACACAGGAAAATGAGCCCTTCCTGGGGAAAAAATCTGATTATTTATGGGTGCAAAACCTCACCAATGTCTCTGCCCCAGCACAGGCTGCTGGGAGAGGTGCCACCCTGGCAAAAGCCACATCTACCACCTTAAAACCAGGAAATGGGAGGGTGATGGGTGCCCTTTGGTGCTTTGCCCTTGGCAGTTTCTTTTATGACTCTGGAGTTGCTGATGTGGATCATTTCTGGATGAAGAACCTGATGTGGGAGGTGGAGCCTTAAACCGCACCCCAGAATTCCGGACCCAGAATTCCAGACCCTGAAACCGGGCAAAGGTTGGAGATGGTGGGTGCAGCTCCTACAGCTCAGGTGAGTGAAATTCCTTTCCATGAGTGATTTAGAATATTGAATTATTTTAAAGTCTTTGGAAGGGATTTTGAATAAATCCTGGGGAGACCAGTGAGCAAAAGCAGGGGCTGCACTTGGAGCTGTGCGTGGATCCTCTCCTGCCCTCGACCAAGGGTTCCTTGTGACGTCAGGGTGCAGGTGGTTTGGTGGGGTTTTGGGAGCTGCACTGGGGGCAGGTGCAGCCCTTCTTCCCCATCCCCTCTGCGGTGGTTGAAACCCCCCCTTGCCCTCCCTCTGCCTCCCTTCCCACCCTCTTCTCCAGTTCCGGCCACAGATGGGGTTCCCCAGGAGCCCATGGGGCCTCCTCAGTCCTTTCCTCACTCTCCACTTCCTCCGGCTGGGATCAGGTAGGGATCCTGCAGGGCTGGGGGGGCTGAGTGTGCTCTGCGTGGCAGATGTGGGGCAGGTGCTCACAGAGCTCAGCCACGCATGGCTTTCATTTTCCCTTGCTCTTGTGATGCGATGTGTCCATTGCCCTGGGACATCTTCAGTCCCCCACAAGGTGTTCCTCTAAAGCCTTTGTCCCTTCTACTAGGGCTGGCTGGGGTGGCATGGGGGTAATTTCCAGGGTGTGGGTCATTTTTGGAGTGGGGATCATGATTTTCTGGTGTAGGTCCCCACTCCCAGGAAACCTCCTTCTCCTTTGAATCCTACTACTCGCTCTCCAGTTTCTCCAGCGAGTTTGGGCCTCAGGGAGGGCAAAGCAACGCCCATGGGATGGAGCGGGCACTTCTCACACCATACTGGCCCCTTGCCATGCAATGCCTGTAAATTAACTTGGGCATAATTTCCTCCTATCTCTGCGTCCTTCTGCATCATCCAGCGGAGTTCAGAGTGGTGGGGCCAAGCCGATCTCTTCTTGCCGCTGTGGGGCAGGATGTCGTGCTGCCATGTCACTTGTCTCCACGTGTGGACGCTCGGAGCTTGGAGATCAGGTGGATCCGGCACCAGCTCTCTGAAACGGTGCACCTCTACCAAAACGGAGAGGACCAGCACTGGGAGCAGATGGAGGAATACATTGGAAGGACAGCATTGGCCAGAAATGGTCTCTCCAGTGGGAGCCTGGACTTGCGAATCTCTGTGTTGAGACCCTCTGATGATGGCCTGTACGTCTGCACTGTGCAAGATGGTGCTTCTTATGGAGAAGATACAGTGAAGCTGGAGGTGGCAGGTTTGTGGCTGCTGTGGTGTTTCGTGGGGATGTTCCAGGTGTCCCTGGGTTGGTGTGCCCCTTCCAGAGCTCTGTCCCATCCTCACGTCCATCTATTCAGTGCCAAATGCTAGGAGCCATTGAGAGAGGTCCAGTGTGAGAAGGCTCTTCTCATCGGTGCCTGCCCAGGAGGTAGCATGCACATGGTGTTGGAGGTGTTTTTGGGGGCAGAGCGGAATGGACGCGTTGGCTTTGGGCCTTTATGGTGTCCTCAAGAGGTTTGTGTTGATGCAGAGATGCTGCCTTGAGTCACTATGATCGGCCACTTGGTGCTTCTCTGCCAGGCTGTTTTATGGGACTTTTGGTGTCATTTGGCATCAGTGCTCTCTGGTTCCTGCAGATGTTGGGGTGGGTTTGGTGGTGTGAGGAGCACATGGCCGTACCCACAGCCCCCTGGGCACCCTGGGATGTGTCTGGCGTGGGGTTCAGTCTTGGCCTTTAAGCTGAGACCATCCCTAACTCAGGACTCTCCTGGGCTCTTCCCCCAGCCATGGGCTCTGTCCCTCTCCTCTCTCTGGAGGCTTACGAGGATGGAGGCATCCGGGTGGTGTGTCGATCGGCCGGCTGGTACCCATCACCAGAGGTGCTGTGGAAGGATGCCAGCGGGCAGCATCTCCCCTCAGTCTCCCAGAGACGTTCCCGCGATGAGAGGGGCCTCTTTGAGATCCAAGATGTCGTCATTGTGAGAGGGAAGGCAGACAGGAACGTGTCGTGCGTGGTGAGGAACAGCCGCCTGGAGCAGGAGCAGGCGTCGTCCCTGCACATCTCAGGTACAGGATGGCAGCAGGGCTGGGGTTGGCCCTGCTGCTTTAGGGGGTTTTGTTCTCCGGAGGCAGGATAAACATGCCGGGAGTGCAGGAAGGAAAGGGGGGTGTAAATGAGGCCTTTTCCTCATGTTTTTTTGTTTCTCAGCTCCCTTTTTCCACAATGCTCGTCCCTGGATGGCAGCTCTGGGTGTCTTCCTCCTGCTTTCTGTGGTGTCAACTACCCTCAGTGCTTACTTCTTCCGAAGGAAAGGTGAGTTTGCATCACCACGATGTTTTGCCTTCATTATGGAAGCTCTTTGGGCAAAGGAAGGATGGGGAGAAGGACACGGGTTGTGGGTGGCAGGAGAGGGAGCATGGGCAGAGCATCTGTCACGTGGGAAGGTCCAAGAGACCCTGGGGAGATGGTGCCAGGGATGAAGCAGCTGCTCTCCTGACCTTCTCTTCCTCTGCCTTTGCTTTCCAGTGGTGCAGTCCAGAGCACTGGGTGAGTCCTTCTGGCCCCTGCCACCAGCAAAGCCTCCCTCTGGGAGGGATGTGGATTTGCATGTTTCTTGCTGTTTCTCTGGTCATTGATGTGTGTTGCTGGAGCCCAGAAGGGACCTAGAGAGCCCTGGGGTTGGGAACTGAGCCCAGGAGGTGTCCTGGGTCATGGGAAGAAGCAGGGACCAGTACTGACTGAGCTTAAATCAGGCTGAACCTTAAATCTCTGCTGAAGTCAGGCGTAACTGCAGAGTGCGTGGATGGTCTGGGGTGGGGATCGGAGGGCAGGATCCCCTGCTGTGAGCCAAGGGGCCTTTTCCCATTTCCCAAAGAGAAGGAATTTGGGCTCAGCCCGTACTCTGCCTGCTCACACCATGGGGTGAGAAGCTGTCCCCTCTCATCACTCATTGATTTTGTTGTTTGTTTTCCAGCAAAACGAGATGCAGAACTGGGTGAGTCTCCTTGAGCTCCTTCTGGCTCAGTGTCCTCTCTTGGGTGCTCTGGGCTCGGCCACTTCCCCCCTTGCCTGTCCTCTCCATCCCTGCATCCCCTGGGTCCATGGAAAACTCAGGGGCAGGTGCCTTGGGGGGTGGGTGGCTTGGTGACACCAGAGTAGAGATGGACACTCTGCCCTCTCCAGAGTCTCTGGGGAGAGTTTGTGGGAATTGATCAGGCTGGAGGAAGCCATCCTAGGGACCCAGGGAGTGTTTTCCCACTCCCCAAGAAAGGAGGAGTTTGGGGTTTCCCCATCTCTGCTTACTCCTTCTTGAGTACTTTTGTGATTAGAAGCTGTCCTCTCTGACCAAATATCGCTTTTGCTTTCCAGAGGAACAAGCTGCACTCTTGGGTGAGTCTCTGTGAGCTCCTCCGGGCTCCATGTTCTCCTCCTGGCCCTCTATGCTTACCCTTTCCCACCTTGCCCGTCCTCTCCACCCCTGCATTCCCTGGGTCTGGGTAAACAACGAGGGGATGTGCCTGGTGGGGTGAGCAGCTTGGGGACACCATACCAAGCTGGACCCTCTCCCCTGGCCAGAGTCCTTGGGGACCAGCCATGGGACATGACCAGGCTGAAGGGAGGCATTCACAAGCTTTGGGGGTCTGTTCCCATTCTCCAAAGAGAAGGAGTTTGGGCTCAGCCTGAGCTCTGCCTGTTCATGCCGTGGGGGGAGAAGCTGTCCTCTCTGATCAGTCATTGATTTTGTTTTTCACTTTTCAGGGAAACAAGATGGAGAACTGAGTGAGTCTCTGTGAGCTCCCCTGGCTCAGTGTTGTATCCCGGGTGCTCTGGGCTCGGCCCCTTTCCCTCCTGCCCCTCCCCTCCATCCCTGCAGCCCCTGGGTCTGCTGGGCAAACCCTGAGGGGAGGTGCCTGGGAGGATGGACAACTCAGGGACACCAGAGCAGAGATGGTCCCTCTTCCCTCACCAGAGTTTCTGGGGAGAGTTTGTGGGACTTGCCCAGGTTGGAGGGAGCCATTCAAAGGGTTTGGGGGGCTGTTCTCCCACTCTTAAAAGGAGGAGTTTTGCCTCTGCCCACTGTTGTAGTTGCAGGTGTGTGTTGAGAAGATCTCCTCTCTCATCACTCATTGCTTCAATTTTTCCTTTCCAGAGCAACGAAATGCAGAACTGGGTGAGTCTCCATGAGCTCTTCCTGACTTGATGTCCTCTCCTGTGGGATTTGTATTCGGCCCCTTACCCTCCTGCCCATCCTCTCCATCCCTGCATCCCCTGGGTATGGGCAAATTCCGAGGAGAGGTGCCTGGGGTGGGGTGGGTAACTCGGGGACACCAGACAAGGGATGGACCCTCTCCCCTGCCCAGAGTCCCTGAGCACCAGCCATGGGACATGACCACGCTGGAGGGAGCCATTCCTTGGGACCCAGGGAGTGTTTTCCCACTCCCTAAAAAGGAGGAATTTAGGGTTTCCCCAGCTCTGTTTATCTTTCCTGAGTAATTATGGGGTGAGAAGCTGTCTTTTCTGACCAAATATTGCTATTGCTTTCCAGAGAAACAAGCTGCACTGCTGAGTGAGTAACCATGATCTCCTCCTGGCTCGATGTTCTCTCCTGGGCCCTCTATGTTCGGCCCCTTTCCCCCTTGCCCTCCTCTCTATCCCTGCATCCCCTGGATCCAGGGAAACTGCAAGGGGATGTGCCCAGGGGGATGGGCAGCTTGGGATCTCCAGACCAGGGATGGGACCTTTGCCCTTCCCAGAGCCACTGGGGACGGGCCATGTCATGTGACCTGCTCTTATCTCTCCTTGTAGCTTGGAGAAAGTTTCTGCTTCCTGAGAATCCAGGTAATGTGTATTTTTTTTAATTTATTTTATGTTCATTTATGGGTGGTTCTTTTCCCTTTCCCTCTGTGTGAGGTGTAACTGGGCTGTCCAGCGAAGGGACTGGCCATGCCCGGATGTGTTGGTGACTCAGATCCCCCTGGACCATGGCACTGGGCTGGATCTCACCCCTGTTTTCTTGCCATTCCACCCCATTCTGAATTACACCGTGGTGCCCCAGAGGTGCCATCTCCTCCTGAGATCCCTTCCACTACCCAGAACAGCTCCTCTCCCCATCCTGCTACTCCCTTGGGGCTGCAGCTGCGCCGGTGCCTCTTCCCATGGGACAGAGCTTGGCCATGGCTGTGGTGGGGCCATCCCCATAGTGGAGATGGAGAAGAGGAAAGAAGATGCCCAGTCTCCTGCCTCGCTGGGTACATCCTGGCCCCGAGGTAGGGGGTGAAACCTGCCCAGCACTGAGCTCTGATGCTCCTGCTCCTCCTGTCCCCTGCAGATATGGTGACCCTGGATCCAAACACGGCTCATCCAGAGCTTGTCCTGTCGAAGGATTTGAGAAGTGTGAAGCATGGACCCGCACGCGAGAACCTGCCCGACACCCCCGAGAGATTTAGTTCTTGGCGCTGTGTGCTGGGCCAGGAGAGGTTCCTGGAGGGGAGGCACTGCTGGGAGGTGGAGGTGAAGGAGGAAGTGGGAGGTGATTCATGGTGGGGTGTTGGGGTGGCCAGTGAGTCTGTGCAGAGGAAGAGGGGATTGGATCTGAGGCCTAAAGAAGGGATCTGGGCAGTTGACAGGTATGCAGGGCAGTTCAGGGCTCTCACCTCTCCTCGCACCATCCTGTCCCTGTCCCCAGTCCCCAGGAGGATCTGTGTCTGTCTGGACTGCACACAGGGGCTGGTGACTTTCCTCAACGCTGACACTGCGGGCGAGATCTTCACTTTCACATCAGCCATGTTTAATGGGAAGGCCCTGTGCCCCTGGTTTTTGCTGGAGACAGAGGAAACCCAGCTGTGCCTTGGGGGCTAAACCTTGCTAAACCTTCAGCCCCACTTTCATCCTCAACACAAACTCCTGCGGAGCCTGTCCTTCTCCAGAAACTCCCCACTCTCCTCTCCTGGACCCTGTAGGAGATGTCCCTCCCTGCCCTGCCCCAGAGTGGGAGTGAGATCAGGGGCTGCTGTGGGATCTCCCCCGGTGCTGGGAGGCTCCGAGCAGGAGGGGGTGTCCTTGTTTCAGCTTTGATGGAGTTAATTTTATTTCTAGTATGGGCTGCATTTTGGATTTAGTGTGAGAATGACGTTGGTCACACATGATTATATACGCGGCTGAGAAATGTTCACATCAGTTAAAGGCTTTTCCAGCTTCCCCTCGCAGCCGAGAGGGAGCACGGCCAGGATGAGGCAACCAAAGGGATATTCCACCCCACAGACATCCTGCTGGGCATAGAAATAGGGGCTTCCTGGGGCTGGGACCCTCCATCACTGCTGGGGAGGAGCTGGGTAATCAGTCCTCAGGTACTGAGGGCAACTGGTGGTGTATCACTTTATTTTGTATATTTTTTTACAATTAATAATGTTATTTTCCTCTCCTGTAACTGTTGTCTTTAACTGTTTACTTCATTCCAACCCACAAAGTGACTTCCCATCCTTTTCTCCCTCTTCTCCCCTCCCTACTGAGGGAGAGGCGGGAAGTGAGGGAGCTGCTGGCTGGGGTTAAACCATGCTGGGGGGCAAGGGACCTCTTGGACCATCATAGCCCTGCCTTGGTCCCTCTTGGAACCCTTTGAGCCCTCTTGGATCACCAGGGAACCTCTTGGAAGCCCCTTGGAAACCCTTAGAACCCCTTGGGCCCCCTTAGAGCACCTTGGATCCCCTTGGAGCTGTGCTGGAACACCCTTGAACACATCTGACTGCCTTAGTCCCCTTGGAATTCCTTGGATCCCCTCAGATCCCCCTCCAATCCTCTCAGATCCCCTGGAGCCCCTTGCAACCCCTTGGATCCCCTGGGCTCTGCCCAGCGTCTACTCACCAGGAGCATCCCTCTGTGCGCCAAATGACCCTTTTCTAAAGAAAACTGCTTTTTCTCTACCCAATTCCCTTCCCATTGGGCACTGGGTGAAGCCGCCTGTGCCTTTTTCTTTATTTTGAGCATTTTTGGCTCTGTGTGTGACAGCATCTTTGTCCGGGAGCAGCTTTAGGTGCAGGAGAAGAGGAATTCTGAGAGTGGAAGGAATTCCCAGCCTGGGGCTATTTTACAGTGATATTTCGTGTTATTGACAGACACTGCTGCAGGGACCAGGGGTGGCCCTAGACTGGGGACTGGGGGTGGTTGAGCCCAGTGGGACATGGGAAGGGGCAGGGGGATGCGCAGGAAGGGGCTGGGACTGTGGGAATGGAGAACAAAGCCCAGATGGGACATCCCCGACTCCTGGGGCTGGTTCCCATGACTGGAGCAGGTTCTGGTGATCGGATCCACTTCTGGTGATGCTGTTGTGCAGGTAATGGGGGGAGAATGCCTGGAGCTTGCTCTGGGACCCTCTCGCGCTGCACTGGCCCAGGAGGTTACAAACCCTTTTTACCTCTCATTCTCTTTAGTCCCCTGCCTCCGGGGCTGAGTAGTGGTCCCCAACACCCCTCGGGGCTCACCCTGGTCCCCCTCCCCACATCTGGGCATGACTCCAGGGACCCCTATGGGGACCTGGGTATCACACCCCCCTGGCACCGACCCCTATGGGAGCTATGGACACAGCCCCACCTTGAACCCTCCTGCACCCCTTATTTTGCACATAGGCTCCCTATGCAGAAGGTGGGACATTGGGGACAGCAGGGGACATGTCCGCCCCAGACACCTGATGTCCTCATGGTGACAGGGCACAGCTGGGGTGTCCTGACATTCAAAGCCCCCGGCCCCCAACCCCATCTTGTCCCTTCGTTCCTGGCTGCCCACAATCTCCTGGCTGTTGTGGGGCTGCAGGGACACTGCTGGGCTCCTCCCCCATGTCCAAAAAGCACAACCAAGCTCCAAGCGCAACATCCTTACCCCCAAATGCAGGTCTTTTTCCTTCCTCAGTTCTATTTTTTCCTACCAGAAACCCAGAAGAAGGGATTCAGGGTAAATTTCAAGTTGAGGCCAAAATGGCCCATGATGGTGACAGGTGCTCTCCCCCCACCTCTCACTCCCAGGAAAAGAGGAGGAGGGAGAAAGAGATTCACGAGTTGAGCAGGAACTAACCTACTTCAATGAAATATGAAGAATGACAAAAAATTGAAACTAATGAAACAGTTACAATTTCTACAAAATTGTATCAAGCTCCTAGGTTGATGTCACTGGCAGGCACTGGGGAAGTCCCAGGCTGGACTCAGCAATGGGTGAGAACTGGATTCCAGCTCTGGGGTGAGGAAGGCATGGATCGGGACCAAAGGCAGACGACCAGACAGGGTCCTCCTCAGGCATCGGCCACTGGAGAAAGAGCTGACCCTTTGATCCCTCGGCTTTAATACTGAGTGTGGGGCAGATGGGATGGAAAACCCCCTTGGAGGTCTGTTTGGCATCCCCCCTCCTGTCCCCCCCTTCCCCAGCTGAGGGTGAGCTGAGAAGTAGAAGACAGAGGCTCACCCTGGTCCCCCTCCCCACATTTGGGTATGGCCCCAAGGACCACCCTGGAGCTGGGTATGACACCCCATTGGTACCCAGACCTTTGAGAGCTATGGGTACAGCTCCCCGTGAACCTCCCCGCACCCCTTACTTTGGGCATGGGCTCTTTATACATAAGGTGGGACACTGGGGACAGCGGGGGACTCCTCCTCCCCAGGGATTTGAGGTCCCCAAGGTGACAGGGCACAGCTGGGGTGTTCTGACACTCAAAGCCCTCCCAACCCCATCTTGTCTTCTTGTTCCTGGCTCCCCACAAGCTTCCAGCTGTTGTGGGGTAGCAGGGACACTGCTGGGTTCCTCTGCTATGTCCAAAAATCACAATCAAGCTCTCAGCTCTACATGATCTCTCCCCAAAAATCCTTTTTATTCTTCATTTTCCATTCTTTTTCTTCTTTTTTTGGTTCCCGGGAACAAAGGGCTGACAAGTTTTCATCCCAAATAGACAAATGTCCTGAAACATCAAGAAAAACCCCCAGAGATGGATGGAGCAGAACTGGTGCATTGTGGTGGAACCACAATTCATCATGGTCTGGTTGGGGGTTTGCTCCATCCTTTGTGATAACGGACAGGAAAATCAGCTCTTTTTTGGGGGAAGAATCCTGCTTATTTATGGGTGCCAATCCTTGCCGATGTCTCTGCCCCAGCACAGGCTTCCGGGAGAGGCACAGCCCTGGGAAAAGCCACCTGCACCGCCTCCCATTAAGGAACTGGGAGGGTGATGGGTTTCCTTTGGTGCTTTGCCCTTGGTGGTTTTTTTTTATGACTCTGGACTTGTTGATGTGTATCATTCTGGATGAAGAACCCGAGCTCAAACGACGTGGGAGGTGGAGCCTTAAACCGCACCCTGGAACTGGGCAAAGGTTAGAGATGTTGGGTGCAACTCCTACAGCTCAGGTGAGTGAATTTCCTTTCCATGAGTAATTTAGAATATTGAATTTTTTTAAAGTCTTTGGAAGGGATTTTGAATAAATCCTGGGGAGACCAGTGAGCAAGAGCAGGGGCTGCACTGGGAGCTGCATGTGGATCCTGTCCTGCCCTCGACCAAGGGTTCCTTCTGACGCCAGGGTGCAGTTGTGTGGTGAGATTTCTGGAGCGGTGTTGGGGGCAGGTGCAGCCCTTCTTCCCCATCCACTCTGTGGCGAGTGTAACTCCACTTGCCCTCCCTCTGCCTCCCTTCCCACCCTCTTCTCCAGCTCTGGCGGCAAATGGGATTCCCCACAAGCCCATGGGGCCTCCTCAGTCCTTTCCTGACTCTCCACCTCCTCCGGCTGGGATCAGGTAGGGATCCTGCAGGGCTGGGGGGGCTGAGTGTGCTCCGGGTGGCAGATGTTGGGTGCAACTCCTACAGCTCAGGTGAGTGAATTTCCTTTCCATGAGTGATTTAGAATATTGAATTATTTTAAAGTCTTTGGAAGGGATTTTGAATAAATCCTGGGGAGACCAGTGAGCAAGAGCAGGGGCTGCACTGGGAGCTGCATGTGGATCCTGTCCTGCCCTCGACCAAGGGTTCCTTCTGACGCCAGGGTGCAGTTGTGTGGTGAGATTTCTGGAGCGGTGTTGGGGGCAGGTGCAGCCCTTCTTCCCCATCCACTCTGTGGCGAGTGTAACTCCACTTGCCCTCCCTCTGCCTCCCTTCCCACCCTCTTCTCCAGCTCTGGCGGCAAATGGGATTCCCCACAAGCCCATGGGGCCTCCTCAGTCCTTTCCTGACTCTCCACCTCCTCCGGCTGGGATCAGGTAGGGATCCTGCAGGGCTGGGGGGGCTGAGTGTGCTCCGGGTGGCAGATGTGGGTCAGGGGAGGCGCTGTGGGTCAGGAGGAGCAGACCCCAGGGCTCGACTGCAGATGGCTTTCACTTTTCCTTGGTCTTGTGATGCCACACGTCCATTGCCCTGGGACATCTTCAGTCCCACCCCAAGGTGTTCTCCCAAAGCCTTTGTCCTTTCTACTAGGGTTGGCTCGGGTGGAAGTATTTTTTGGCTTCAGGGTAATTTTTTCCAGGGTGCAGTTGTGTGGTGAGATTTCTGGAGCGGTGTTGGGGGCAGGTGCAGCCCTTCTTCCCCATCCACTCTGTGGCGAGTGTAACTCCACTTGCCCTCCCTCTGCCTCCCTTCCCACCCTCTTCTCCAGCTCTGGCGGCAAATGGGATTCCCCACAAGCCCATGGGGCCTCCTCAGTCCTTTCCTGACTCTCCACCTCCTCCGGCTGGGATCAGGTAGGGATCCTGCAGGGCTGGGGGGGCTGAGTGTGCTCCGGGTGGCAGATGTGGGTCAGGGGAGGCGCTGTGGGTCAGGAGGAGCAGACCCCAGGGCTCGACTGCAGATGGCTTTCACTTTTCCTTGGTCTTGTGATGCCACACGTCCATTGCCCTGGGACATCTTCAGTCCCACCCCAAGGTGTTCTCCCAAAGCCTTTGTCCTTTCTACTAGGGTTGGCTCGGGTGGAAGTATTTTTTGGCTTCAGGGTAATTTTTTGGGGTATGGGTCATTTCTGGAGTGGGGTCATGATTTTCTGGAGCAGGTTCCCACCCCTGGGAATCCTCCTTCTCCTTCAAGTCCTCCTGCTCCCTCTCCAGTTTCTGCAGGGTCTTTGGGCCATGGGGAGGGCAAAGCAACGTCTGCAGGAAGGAGCAGGCACTTCTCACACCAAGCTGGCCCCTTGCCTTGCAATGCCCATAAATGAATGTGGGCACAATCTCCATCCCTCTGTGTCCTTTTCCGTCACCCAGCGGACTTCATAGTGGTGGGGCCAAGCCGACCTCTCCTTGCCACCATGGGACAGGACGTCGTGCTGCCCTGTCACTTGTCTCCACGCATGGACGCTCGGGGCTTGGAGATCAGGTGGATCCGGCACAAGCTCTCTGAAACGGTGCACCTCTACCGAAATGGAGCGGACCAGCAGTGGGACCAGATGGAGGAATATGCTGGAAGGACAGAGTTGGCCAGAGATGGTCTCTCCCGTGGGAGCCTGGACTTGCGAATCTCTGGGTTGAGACCCTCTGATGATGGCCAGTACGTCTGCACTGTGCATGATGGTGCTTCTTATGGAGAAGATACAGTGGAGCTGGAGGTGGCAGGTTTGTGGCTGCTGTGGTGTGTCCCGGGGAAGGCCATGGTGTCCCTGGGTTGGTGTGTGTCTCCAGGAGCTCTGTCCCATCCTCACATCCATCCTTTCAGTGCTGAAGGCCAGGAGTGTTGAAAGCTGTTTGGGTGCGAGGGGTCTCTTCCCATCTGTCTCTGCCCAGGACGGAGCATGCATGTGGTCCTGGAGCACCCTGTGATGTGTCTGGCATGGGCTTGGGTCATGGCCTTTGAGCTGGGTCCATCCCTAACTCAGGGCAACCCTTTGCTCTTCCCCCAGCCTTGGGCTCTGTCCCTTTCCTCTCTCTGGAGGCTTACGAGGATGGAGGCATCCGGGTGGTGTGTCGATCGGCCGGCTGGTACCCGTCACCGCAGGTGCTGTGGAAGGATGCTGGTGGGCAGCATCTCCCCTCGGTCTCCCTGAGACGTTCCCCTGATGAGAGGGGCCTCTTTGAGATCCAAGATGTCATCGTTGTGAGCGGGAAGGGAGATGGGAATGTGTCGTGTGTGGTGAGGAACAGCCGCCTGGATCAGGAGCAGGCGTCGTCCCTGCACATCTCAGGTACAGGATGGCAGCAGGGCTGGGGTTGGCCACGCTGCTTGAGGGGGTTTCATCTCAGAGGGCTGGAGAAACATGCAGGGGGAGAGGGAAGGGGATGAGGGTGCACCCGCAGGTGAGTTTTATTGCAGGAGGAAACCTGAGTCTGGTGTGCTTCAGGGGAGCTTTGGTGTGTCCATGGGATGGGGAGGAGGACGTCCTGTTGAGCTCCCAGCTCCCAGCAGGAGGCTTTAGCAGCTGGTAGTTTGGGGTTGTTTGGGTTTCTTTCTTCTCCTCACACAGGGGAGTGTAAAATGAGGCTTTTTCCCGATGTGTTTTTTTTTCTCAGCTCCTTTTTTCCACAATGCCCGTCCCTGGATGGCAGCTCTGGGTGTGTTCCTCCTGCTTTTGGTGATGTGTTTTGGTGTCATTGCTTATCTCTTCCGAAGGAAAGGTGAGTTTGTAGTTGGGGGGATGGAGTGGAGGGGCTCAGGGGTTGAGTGAGGACAATGGACGTACGCAGAATGGGATCAGAGTTGTTTCAGAACAGGTTTTGCCTGCATGAAAGAAGCTCTTTGGGCAAAGGAAGGATGGGGAGAAGGACACAGGGTGTGGGTGGGAGAATAGGGAGCACGGCCAGAGCATCTGGCTTGTGGGAAGGTCCAGGAGACCCTGGGGAGATGGGGCCAGGGATGAAGCAGCTTCTCTCCTGACCTATTCTTTCTTTGCCTTTGCTTTCCAGTGGTGCAGTGCATAGCGTGGGGTGAGTCCTTCTGTCCCCTGCCACCAGCAATGCCTCCTGAGAAAGGAGCTCCTTGGGAGGGATGTGGCTTTGCATCTTTCTTGATGATCCTCTGGTCATTGATGTGGGTTGGTAGGGCGCAGAAAGGGACTGGAGAGCACTGGGGTTTTGAATGGGCATGGGAGGTGTCCTGGGAGTCTTTGTGAGCTCTCCTGGCTTGATATCCTCTCCTGGGTTCTCTGTGCTTGGCCCATTCCCCTCTTCAGTGTGGGTGGGAGACAAGGAGCATGGGCAGAGCATCTGGCTGGTGGGAAGGTCCAAGAGACCCTGGGGAGATGGTGCCAGGGATGAAGTAGCTTCTCTCCTGACCTATTCTTTCTTTGCCTTTGCTTTCCAGTGGTGCAGTGCATAGCGTGGGGTGAGTCCTTCTGTCCCCTGCCACCAGCAATGCCTCCTGAGAAAGGAGCTCCTTGGGAGGGATGTGGCTTTGCATCTTTCTTGATGATCCTCTGGTCATTGATGTGGGTTGGTAGGGCGCAGAAAGGGACTGGAGAGCACTGGGGTTTTGAATGGGCATGGGAGGTGTCCTGGGAGTCTTTGTGAGCTCTCCTGGCTTGATATCCTCTCCTGGGTTCTCTGTGCTTGGCCCATTCCCCTCTTCCCCGTCCTCTCCATCCCTGCATCCCCCGGGTCCTGGCAAACCCCAGGAGGATGTGTCTGTGGGGGCTGGGCAGCTTCGGGACACCAGAGTAGGGCTGGACCCTCTCCCCAGTGAGAGCTACTGGTGACCAGTGGTGGGATGTGACCTGCTCTTGTCTCTCCTTGTAGCTTGGAAAAAGATTCTGCTTCCTCAGAATCCAGGTAACTTGAAGTTATATTGTTTTTTTATGGGGGATTCTCCCGTCTTTCCCTCTGTGCGAGGCATAATTGGGCTTTCCAGCAAAGGGACTGGCTATGCCTGGGGGTGTTGGTGACTCTGACCCCCAGACCATGGCACTGGGATGGATCCCACCCTGTTTTCTTGCACTTACACCCTGTTCTGAGTTACCCCGTGGTGCCTCAGAGGTGCCATCTCCCCCTGAGACCCTATGCATTTCCCAGCTCCTCTCCCCATTCTGCTACTCCCTGTGGGGGCTGCAGTCCCACCGGTGCCTCTTCCCACGGGACTGGGCTTGGCGGTGGCAATGGTGGGGCCAGCGCCATGGTGGGGATGGAGAGGGGGAAGGAGATGCCCACTCTCCTGACCTCTAGGGCACGTCCTGGCACCGGAGAGTGAAACATGCCCAGGACTGAGCTCTGATGCTCCGTCCCCCACTGTGTCCCCTGCAGAGGTGGTGACCCTGGATCCAAACACGGCTCATTCCAAACTTTTCCTGTCGGAGGATTTGAGAAGTGTGAAACGTGGATCCGCACACCAGAACCTGCCCGACACCCCTGAGAGATTTAGTTATTGGCCCTGTGTGCTGGGCCAGGAGAGGTTCCGGGAGGGGAGGCACTGCTGGGAGGTGGAAGTGAAGGGGGAGGTGGGAGGTTATTCGTGGTGGGCTGTTGGGGTGACCAGAGAGTCTGTGGAGAGGAAGGAGAGTGAGTTGCCGAGCCCTGCAGTAGGTGTCTGGGCGGTCTGGCACGTTTTCGGGCAGTTTGAGGCTCTCACTTCTCCTCGCACCCCCTTGTCCCTGTCCCTAGTCCCCAGGAGGATCTGGGTCTGTCTGGACTGCACATGGGGGCTGGTGACTTTCCTCAACGCGGACACTGGGGGTGAGATCTTCACTTTCCCACCAGCCTCGTTCCACGGGGAGATCCTGCGCCCCTGGTTTAGGGTGGAGACAGAGGAAACCCAGCTGTGCCTCAGGGGCAGCATACCCTGAGCCCCAGTCCCACTTCCATCCCCACCACAGCCTCCAGCAGACCCTGTCCTTCTCCAGAGACTTCTCGTTCTCCTCTCCTGGACCCTGCAGGAGATGTCCCTCTCTGCTCTGCCTCAGCCCAGGAATCAGAGGGGGAATGAGGGACAGGGGACAGGGGCTGCTGTGGGGTCCCCCCCGGGGCTAGGAGGCTCTGAAGGGAGGGGGGTGTCCTCGTTTCAGCTTTGATGGAGTTAATTTTCTTTCTAGTATGGGCTGCATTTTGGATTTACTGTGAGAATGCCATTGGTCACACATGAGTATATACATGGCTGAGAAATGTTCACATCAGTCCAAGGCTTTGTCCAGCTTCCCCTCACAGCCAAGAGGGAGCACAGCCAGGACAAGGCAGCCAAAGGGATATTCCACCCCACAGATGTCCTTCTCGGGATTGAAATGGGGGCTGCTGGGGGGCTGGGGCCCTCCATCGTTGATGGGGATGGAATTGGCAACCAGTCCTCAGGTGCTGAGGGCAACTGGTGTTGTATCACTTTATTTGGTATACTTATTTTTTTTTTACATTAAAAATGTTATTTCCCTCTATCATTACTGTTATCTTAAACTGTTGCCTTTATTCTGATCCAGGAGGTGTTTTCCCCTCCTTTTCTCCCTCTCGTCTCCACCCTACTGAGGGAGTTGGGTAGTAGAGAGGGAGCCACTGGCTGGGCTTAAAAGATTCTGTGGGGCAAGAGAGCTCTTGGACCCTCATAGAACCTCCTGGATCCCCTTGAATCCCCTTTGGAACCTCTTGGAAGCCCCTTGGAACCCCTTACAACCCCTTGCGTCCCCTTGGAATCCCTTGTATCCCCTTCAACAACTCTCTTCCATCTCCTTGGATCCCTTGGACTCCTTGAACCTCTTGCATCTTCTTGGATCCCCTTGAAACTCCTTGGAACCTCTTGGCACCACTTGGATCCCCTCAGATTCCACTCAAGACCCCCTCCAATCTGCTCCGATACCCTGGAACCTCTTGGATCCTCTTGGATCCCCTCCGTACCACTTGGAACTCAGCTTAGAACACCTTGAACCCCTTGTTACCCCTCAGATCCCCTTGAAAACCTTTTCAACCCCCAGGAACCCCTCTTGGACCCCCCTGGAACCTTTTACAACCCCTTGGAACACCTTGCATCCCCTGGGCTCTGCCTGACACTGTACTCACCGTGAGCATCCTCCTGTGCTGCATGACACTTTTCTTAAGAAAACTGCTTTTTCTCTACCTAATTCCCTTCCCAGTTGGGCACTGGGTGAAGGCAGCAGCACTTTTTTTGCTTATTTGGGGGATTTTTGGCTCCTTGTGTGGGAGCATCTTTGTCCCAGAGTGGCTTTAGGTGCAGCAAAAGAGTAAACCGTGGAAGGAATTTCCCAGCCTGGGGCTATTTTAGATGGATTTATTGCAGTGGTGATTCGCTGCTGCTGCTGTTTCAGAGCTGGGAGCTGAACTGGGGCTGGGCACCACGGGGCGGGATCTGCTGGGAATGGGATGTTGGGGATACTTGGGGCTGAGAACGAGACCTCCCTGTTCACTTGATCTGGTCAGGGCTGTTTACGTGCCCCCTGCTCCTCTTCAGCGCCCTCCTGCTCCTCCTGGACCCTCCTTGGGTTGGACAGGGGCTCCTGGACCCCACTGGGGTTAGAGGCAGGCTCATCCCTTGTCCACATGCCCAGGTGTGGAGACCTCCCTGTTCACTTGATCTGGTCAGGGCTGTTTACGTGCCCCCTGCTCCTCTTCAGCGCCCTCCTGCTCCTCCTGGACCCTCCTTGGGTTGGACAGGGGCTCCTGGACCCCACTGGGGTTAGAGGCAGGCTCATCCCTTGTCCACATGCCCAGGTGTGGGTACAGTCCCCAGGAGCCCCAGACATGGGTATGCCCTCAAACTCAGAAACTCCATACCCGCCCCTGCTATGGGTACAGCCCATTGCCTCCCCCACAGCCCTTCTTTTGAGTATGGATGTAGATGAGACGTTGGGGACAGCAGGGGACAGGTCCTCCCAATCCATGACCCCAGGGTGACAGGGCAGAGGGATAGGGTACAGCTGGGGTGTCCCAACCCTCGAAGCCCAATCCCAGCCTCATCTTTTCCTCTCGTCCCCAACTCCCCACAATCTCCTGGCTGTTGTGGGGCTGCAGGGACACTGCTGGGCTCCTCCCCCATGTCCAAAAAGCACAACCAAGCTCCAATCGCAACATCCTCACCCTCAAATGCAGGTCTTTTTCCTTCCTCAGTTCTATTTTTTCCTACCAGAAACCCAGAAGAAGGGATTTAGGGTACATTTCAGGTTGAGGCCAAAATGGCCCATGATGGTGACAGATGTTCTCCCCCCACCTCTCACTCCCAGGAGAGAAGGAAGAAAGAGAAAGAGATTCATGAGTTGAGCAGGAACTGAACTATTTCAAGGAGATATTAATAATAAAATAAAAAGGAAAGCAATGAAATAAATACAATATCTACAAACCTGCATCAAGATCCCAGGATTGAGGCGCGGCAACAAACTCTACAACTCCCAGAGAGTTATAAAGCAGGGATGTTTATTGCAGCGCCGGGTGCCAGGGGGATTGCTCCTCCCAACTTGCACACCGGGTCGTAAAACAAGCCTCCATTTATGGTAAGAAAGTATACATATTCATTAATAGGGGCTGGGTTATTATAATCAGTTCCAGGAATAGGCATAACTCTTGTAATTATTTATGAGAACTCATTATCATTTCTCCTTTGTGTGTTTACAAGACAAGGCCAGTTCCTTACTCTGGAATGCTGGGCTCCCGGCTCTCTTATTTGTCAAGCTCCACTAAATCTACACTAACAATGTTTAACCATTCATTCTCCAAATCAGGATGACATCACCAGCAGGCACTGGGGATCCCCAGACTGGACTCAGCCATGGGTGGGATCTGGATTCCAGCTCTGGGGTCAGGAAGGCACAGATTGGGATCGAAGGCAGACGACCAGTTAGGGTCCTCCTCAGATTGTTGGCCATTGGAGAAAGAACTGATCCTTTGATCCTCGGTTTTTGTACTGGGCGTGGGGCAGATGAGATGGAACCCTCCCTTGGTCATGTTGGTGACCTTCCTCGTGTCCCCCCCATTCCTCAGCCGAGGCTGAATTGAGAAGTAGAATTACTGCATAGAAAGTTGTTTCTGTTTTACCTCAAACTGGGACAGAGGCTCACCCTGGTCCCCCTCCCCAGATCTGGGTGTGACACCAGGAACCTCCGGATCTGGGCATGACACCCCACTGGTACCTACCCCTTTGGGAGCTATGGGTAGAGCTCCCCATGAACCTCCCCACACCCCTTACTTAGAGCATGGGCTCCTCATACGTAAGGTGGGACATTGGGGACAGCAGGGGACATGTCTGCCCCAGACACCTGAGGTCCCCATGGTGACAGGGCACAGCTGGGGTGTCCCGACATTCAAGACCCCCCAAACCCATCTTGTCCCCTCATGCCTGGCTCCCCACAAGCTCCCAGCTGTTGTGGGGCTGCAGGGACACTGCTGGACTCCTCTGCTGTGTCCAAAAATCACAACCAAGTTCTCAGCTCCACAAGATGCCTCCCAAAAAATCCCTATCATGCTTCATTTTTCATTCTTTTTCTCCCTTTTTTCGGTTCCTGGGGACAAAGGGCTAACAAGTTTTCTTCCCAAATAGACAAATGTCCTGAAACACCAAGAAAAACCCCCAAGAAATAGATGGAGCAGAACCAGCACAGGTGAACGATTTGTCATAATCTGGATGGGGGTTTGCTCCTTCCTTTGTGACAATGGCCATACACAGGAAAATCAGCCATTTCTGGGGGAAAAAGTCCTGCTTATTTATAGGTGCAAAACCTCACCGATGTCTCTGCCCCAGCACAGGCTGCAGGGAGAGGCGCAGCCCTGGAAAAAGCCACATCCCATCCAGGAACAGGGAGGGAAATGGGTTTCTTTTAGTGCTTTGCCCTTGGTTTTCTTTTGGCAGTTTCTTTTATGACTCTGGACTTGCTGAAAATGGGTCATTCTGGATGAAGAACCTGAGCTCAAACGACATGGGAGGTGGAGCCTTAAACTACACCCTGGAACTGGGCAAAGGTTAGAGATGGTGGGTGCAGTTCCTACAGCTCGGGTGAGTGAATTTCCTTTCCGCAGACAATTCAGAATATTGAATTAATTTCAAGTCTTTGGAGGGGATTCTGAGTAAATCCTGGGGAGGGCAATGGGGCAGAGGAGAGTCTACACTGGGAGCTGTGCATGGTCCCGTCCTGCCCTCGACCAAAGGTTCCTTCCGACGTCAGGGTGCAGGTGGTTTGGTGGGATTTCTGGAGCCGCATTGGGGGCAGCCCTTCTTCCCCATCCCCTTCGTGGTGGTTGTAACCCCCCCTTGCCCTCCCTCTGCCTCCCTTCCCACCCTCTTCTCCAGCTCCAGCCACGATGGGGTACCTAATGAGCCCATGGGGCCTCCTCAGTCCTTTCCTGACTCTCTACCTCCTCCGGCTGGGATCAGGTAGGGATCCTGCAGGGCTGGGAGGGCTGAGTGTGCTCTGGGTGGCAGATGTGGGTCAGGGGAGGCGCCGTGGGGCTGGAGGAACTGAGCCCAGACCTCGGCCATGCATGGCTTTCACTATCCCTTGGTCTTGTGATGCGATATGTCCATTGCCCTGGGGCATCTTCAGTCCCACCCTGCAGTGCTCCCTCAAAGCATTTGTCCCTTCTACAGGGGCCAGCTGGGGTGGGGGTAATTTTCAGGGTGTGGGTCATTTTTGGAGTGGGGGGCACAATTTTCTGGTGTAGATCCCCACCTCAAGGAACCGTCCTTCTCCTTTGAATCCTCCTACTCCCTCTCCAGTTTCTCCAGGGTCTTTGGGCCATGGGGAGGGCAAAGCAACACCTGCAGGATGGGGCAGGCACCACTCATTCCAAGCTGGCCTCTTGCCGTACAATGCCTGTAAATTAACCTGGGTGCAACCTCCATCCCTCTGTGTCCTTCTCCGTCACCCAGCGGACTTCAGAGTGGTGGGGCCAAGCCGACCTCTCCTTGCCACCGTTGGGCAGGACGTTGTGCTGCCCTGTCACTTGTCTCCACGCATGGATGCTCAAAGCTTGGAGATCAGGTGGATCCGGCACCTGGTCTCTGAAACGGTGCACCTCTACCGAAACGGAGAGGACAAGTATGGTGAGCAGATGGAGGAATATGCTGGAAGGACAGAGTTGGCCAGAAATGGTCTCTCCAGTGGGAGCCTGGACTTGCGAATCTCTGAGTTGAGACTCTCTGATGATGGCCAGTACGTCTGCACTGTGCGAGATGCTGACACTTATGGAGAAGCTACAGTGGAGCTGGAGGTGGCAGGTTTGTGGCTGCTGTGGTGTGTCCCGGGGAAGGCCATGGTGTCCCTGGGTTGGTGTGTCTCTCCAGGAGCTCTGTCCCATCCTCACATCCATCCTTTCAGTGCTGAAGGCCAGGAGTGTTGAAAGCTGTTTGGGTGTGAGGAGTCTCTTCCCTTCTGCCTCTACCCAGGACGGAGCACGCACATGGTCCTGGAGATGTTTTTGGGGCAAAGGAGAACAGATGCAGTGGCTTTAGCTCTCTGTGGTGTCCTTGTGGTGAACTGTTGGTGCAGCGACCCTACCTTGAGAAGCACTCGCTCCTCTGCCGGGCTGTTTTATGGGAGATCTGGGGTCATTGAGCATCAGTGCTCACTGGTTCTTGCAGCCCCTGGGGTGAGTTTGGTGGTGTGAGGAGCACATGGCCGGCCCCACAGCTCCCTGAGCACCCTGTGATGTGTCTAGCATGGGGTTCATTCTTGGCCTTTAAGCTGAGACCATCCCTAAGTCAGGGCAACCCCGGGCTCTTCCCCCAGCCTTGGGCTCTGTCCCTCTCCTCTCTCTGGAGGCGTATGAGGATGGAGGCATCCGGGTGGTGTGTCGATCGGCCGGCTGGTACCCGTCACCAGAGGTGCTGTGGAAGGGTGCCAACGGGCAGCATCTCCCCTCGGTCTCCCAGACACGTTCCCCTGATGAGAGGGGCCTCTTTGAGATCCAAGATGTCATCGTTGTGAGCAGGAAGGGAAATGGGAATGTGTCTTGCGTGGTGAGGAACAGCCGCCTGGAACAGGAATCGTCCCTGCACATCTCAGGTACGGGGTGGCAGCAGGGCTGGGGTTGGCCACACTGCTTGAGGGGGTTTAATCTCAGGGGGCTGGAGAAACATGCAGGTGTAGAGGGAAGCGGACGGGGGCACACCCGCAGGTGAGTTTTATTGCAGGAGATAACGTGACCCTGGTGTGCTTCAGGGGAGCTTTGGTGTGTCCATGGGATGGGGAGGAGGACGTCCTGTTGAGCTCACGGCTCCCAGCAGGAGGCTTTAGCAGCTGGTAGTTTGGGGTTGTTTGGGTTTCTTTCTTCTCCTCACACAAGGGAGTGTAAAATGAGGCCTTTTCCCGATGTGTTTTTTTTCTCAGCTCCCTTTTTCCACAATGCCCGTCCCTGGATGGCAGCTCTGGGTGTGCTCCTCCTGCTTTTAGTGATCTGTTTTGGTGTCATTGCTTATCTCTTCCGAAGGAAAGGTGAGTTTGTAGTTGGGGGGATGGAGTGGAGGGGCTCAGGGGTTGAGTGAGGCCCATGGACGTACGCAGAATGGGATCAGAGTTGTGTCAGAATAAGTTTTGCCTTCATGAAGGTTCCGGGAGGGGAGGCACTGCTGGGAGGTGGAAGTGAAGGGGGAGGTGGGAGGGTATTCATGTTGGGCTGTTGGGGTTGCCAGAGAGTCTGTGGAGAGGAAGGAGAGTGAGTTGCCGAGCCCTGCAGTAGGTGTCTGGGCGGTCTGGCATGTTTTCGGGCAGTTTGAGGCTCTCACTTCTCCTCACACCCCCTTTTCCCTGTCCCCAGTCCCCAGGAGGATCTGGGTCTGTCTGGACTGCACATGGGGGCTGGTGACTTTCCTCAATGCTGACACTGGGGGTGAGATCTTCACTTTCCCACCAGCCTCGTGCCACGGGGAGACCCTGCGCCCCTGGTTTTGGGTAGTAGATTTTGAAACCCAGCTGTGCCTCAGGGGCAGCACCCCCCAAACCCTCAGCCCCACTTCCATCCCCACCACAGCCTCCAGCAGACCCTGTCCTTCTCCAGAGACTCCCTACTCTCCTCTTCTGGACCCTGCAGGAGATGTCCCTCTCTGCTCTGCCTCAGCCCAGGAATCAGAGGGGGAATGAGGGACAGGGGACAGGGGCTGCTGTGGGGTCCCCCCCGGGGCTAGGAGGCTCTGATGAGAGGGGATTGTCCTCGTTTCAGCTTTGATGGAATTAATTTTCTTTCTAATATGGGTTGCATTTTGGATTTAGTCTGAGAATGACGTTGGTCACACATGAGTATATACGTGGCTGAGAAATGTTCTCATCAGTCCAAGGGCTTTTCCAGCTTCCCCTTGCAGGTGGGAGGGAGCACGGCCAGGACAGGACGGTCAAAGGGATATTTCATGCCAGAGACATACTGCTGGGGACAGAAATGGAGGCTGCCAGGGGGCTGGGGCCTTCCATCGCTGCTGGGAATGGGATTGGCAGTGAGTCCTCAGGTGCTGAGGGCAACTAGTGTTGTATCCTTGTATTTTGTATATTTTTTTTTACAATTAATACTGTTGTTTTCTTCTATAGTAACTGTTGTCTTAAACTGTTGCCTTTATTCCAACCCAAGAGGTGTTTTCCCCTCCTTTTCTCTCTCTCTTCTCGCCACCCTGGTGGGGGATTGGGGTGGGGGGAGTGAGGGAGCCACTGGCTGGGATTAAACCATGCTGGGGGGCAAGGGACCTCTTGGACCCCCATCGACCTTCCTGGATCCCCTTGGATCCCCTGGAAAGCTCTTGGAAGCCCCATGGAACCCCTTGCAACCCCTTGTGTCCCCTTGGAACCTCTTTGATCCCCTTTGATGCTCTTCCATTTCCTTGGATCCCTTGGACTCCTTGAACCTCTTGCATCTTCTTGGATCCCCTTGAAACTCCTTGGAACCCCTTGGCACCACTTGGATTCCCTCGGATTCCACTCAGAACCCCCTCCAATCTCCTCCAGACTCCTGGAACCTCTTGGATCCCCTCCGTACCACTTGGAACTCAGCTTAGAACACCTTGAGTCCCTTGTATCCCCTCGCAGCCCCTTGCAACCCACCAGAAACCCCTTATGGACCCCTGTGGAACCTCTTGCAACCCCTTGGAATCCCTTGCATCCCCTGGGCTCTGCCTGACACTGTACTCACTGTGAGCATCATCCTGCGCCTCGTGACGCTTTCCTGAAGAAAACTGCTTTTTCTCTACTCAATTCCCTTCCCAGTTGGGCGCTGGGTGAAGGCAGATGTGCCTTTTTGGTTTGTTTTTTTATTATTTTTGGCTCCATGCCTGGAAACATCTTTGTCCCAGAGCAGCTTTCGGTGCAGCAGAAGAGGAAAGGTCTGAGAATAGAAGGAATTCCTAGCCTGGGGCTATTTTACATCAATATTTTGTGTTATTGACAGCTGCTGCTACATGGACTGGGGGTGGCTGAGCACAAAACAACTCGGAAAGGGGTAGGGGGAGGGGCAGGAAGGGGCTAGGAATGCGGGAACTGAGAACAAAGCCCAGATGGGGCATCCCCAACTCCCAGAACTGGTTCCCATGACTGGAGTAGGTTCTGATGACACCCAGTGATGCTGCCGTGCAGGTAATGGTGGGAGGATGCCCCAAGCTTGCTCTGGGGTCCTGTCACGCAGCACCGACCCAGGGGGTTACAGGCCCTCTTTACATCCCCTTCTCCTTAGTCCCCCACCCCTAGAGCTGGATATAGGTCCCTGACACCCCTCGGGGATCATCCTGGTCCACGTCCCCACATCTGGGGATGACCCCAAGAACCCCCCTGAAGCTGGGTATCACACCCCCCTGGCACCTACTCTATGGGAGCTACGAAAACAACCCCACCCTGAACCCTCCTGCACCCCTTAGTTTGCACATGGGCTCCCTATACAGAAGGTGGGACATTGGGGACAGCAGGGGACATGTCTGCCCCAGGCACCTGAGGTCCCCATGGTGACAGGGCACAGCTGGGGTGTCCTGACATTCAAAGCCCCTGCCCCCAACCCCATCTTGTCCCTTCGTTCCTGGCTCCCCACAATCTCCTGGCTCTTGTGGGGCTGCAGGGGCACTGCTGGGCTCCTCCCCCATGTCCAAAAATCCCAACCAACCTCTCATCACAACGTCCTCACCCCCAAATGCAGGTCTTTTTCCTTCCTTAGTTCTATTTTTTCCTACCAGAAACCCAGAAGAAGGGATTCAGGGTACATTTCAGGTTGAGGCCAAAATGGCCCATGATGGTGACAGGTGCTCTCCCCCCACCTCTCACTCCCAGGAGAGGAGGAGGAGAGAGAAAGAGATTCATGAGTTGAGCAGGAACTAACCTACTTCAATGAAATATGAAGAATGAAATAAAAAATAAAGTAATGAAATAGACACAATATCTACAAAACTGTATCAAGCTCCTAGGATGACATCACCGGCAGGCACTGGGGAAGTCCCAGACTGGACTCAGCCATGGGTGGGATCTGGATTCCAGCTCTGGGGTCAGGAAAGCATGGATCGGGATCAAAGGCAGATGACCAGACAGGGTCTTCCTCGGACATCGGCCACTGCAGACAGAGCTGACTCTTTGATTCCTCGGCGATTATAGGGAGAGTGAGGCAGATGGGATGGAACACCCCCTTGGCGGTCAGTTTGAGGTCCCCCCTCCTCTCCCCCTCTTTCCAAACCAAGGATGAGCAGAGAAGTAGAATTACCAAATGGAAAGTTAGTTCTGTTCTACCTCAAAATCGGACAGACGCCTGTCCTGGTCCCCCTCCCCACGTCTGGGCATGATCCCAGGGACCCTCCCGGAGTTGGGTATGATACCCGCTTCGTATCCACCCCTTGCTATGGGTACAGCCCCCCCCCAACCATCCTGCACCCCTTCTTTTGGGCATGGGCTCCCCATGCAGAAGATATGACACTGGGGACAGCAGGGGTGTCCTGAGACTCAAAGCGCCCCCAACCCCATCTTGTCCTCTTGTCTCTGGCTCCCCACAGCTCCTAACTGTTGTGGGGCTGTAGGGACACTGCTGGGCTCCTCTGCTATGTCCAAAAATCCCAACCAAGTTCTCAGCTCCACAAGATGCCTCCCAAAAAATCCCTATTATCCTTCATTTTCCATTCTTTTTCTCCTTTTTTTGGTTCCTGGGAATGAAGGGCTGCCGAGTTTTCTTCCCAAATAGACAAATGTCCTGATACACCAAGATAAACCCCCAAGAGATGGATGGAGCAGAGCTGGCGCAGGTGGACGATTCATCATAGAGAGGTTGGGGCTGGTCTCTTCTCATAGGTAATTAACAATAGAACGAGAGGGAACGGCTTCAAGCTCCAACAGGGTAGGTTTAGATTGAACATTAGGAAGGAATTCTTCACAGGGAGAGTGGTTGGGCATTGGAACAGGCTGCCCAGGGAGGTGGTAGAGTCACCGTCCCTGGCTGTGTTTAAGGGACGTTTAGATGCGGTACTGAGGGATATGGTGTAGGGGAGGACTTTGTAGAGTAGGGTAGATGGTTGGACTCGATGATCCCAAGGGTCTCTTCCAACCTCAATGATTCTATGATTCTATGATTCTATTCTATCATGGTCTGGTTGGGGGTTTACTCCTTCCTTTGCGACAACAACCATACATAGGAAAATCAGACCTTTCTGGGGAAAAAAAACCCAGCTTATTTATGGGTGCAAATCCTTGCCAATGTGTCTGCCCCAGCACAGGCTGCTGGGAGAGGTGCCGCCCCGGGAAAAGCCACCTCCACCTCCTCCCATCCAGGAACGCGCAAGGTGATGGCTTCCCTTTCTCTTGGTTCCCTTGGTTCTTTGCCCTTGGTGTTTTTTTTTTTTAATGACTCTGGACTTTCTGATGTGGATCATCTCTGGATGAAGAATCTGAACTCACAATGATGTGGGAGGTGGAGCCTTAAACTGCACCCTGGAACTGGGCAAAGGTTGGAGATGGTGGGTGCAGCTCCTACAGCTCAGGTGAGTGAATTTCCTTTCCGCGAGGGATTTAGAATATTTAATTAATTTAAAGTCTTTGGAAAGGATTTAGAATAAATCCTGGGGAGGGCAGTGGGGTAGAGAGGAGATACACTGGGAGCCGCGTGTAGATCCCGTCTTGCCCTCCAGCAAGGGTTCCTTGTGACATCAGGTGGTTTGATGGGATTTCTGGAGCGGCGCTGGGGGCAAGTGCAGCCCTTCTTCTCCATCCTTTCTGCGATGGCTCTAACTCCCCCTTGCCCTCCCTCTGCCTCCCTTCCCACCCTCCCCTCCAGCTCCAGATGCAGATGGGGTTCCTGGCAAGCCCATGGAGCCTCGTCAGTCATTTCCTGACACTCCACCTCCTCCAGCTATTCAATCCCAGCCTGCGGTGTCCCCCAAAGCCTTTGTCCCTTCTACCAGGGCTGGCTGAGTTTGGGTGGGGGTCATTTTTGGGCTGGGGGGTCATGGTTTTCTGGAGCAGGTTCTCACCCCCAGGAAACCTCCTTCTCCTCCAAGTCTTCCCTCTCCCTCTCCAGTTTTCTCCAGAGTCTTTGGGCCATGGGGAGGGCAAAGCAACACCTGCAGGAAGGAGTGGGCACTGCTCACACCAAGCTGGCCCCTTCCCATGCGATGCTCGTAAATTAACCTGGGTGCGATCTCCATCCCTCTGTGTCCTTCTCTGTCACCCAGCGGACTTCAGAGTGGTGGGGCCAAGCCGACCTCTCCTTGCCACCGTGGGGCAGGATGTCGTGCTGCCGTGTCACTTGTCTCCACGCATGGACGCTCGGAGCTTGGAGATCAGGTGGATCGGTGCACCTCTACCGAAATGGAGAGGACAAGTATGGCGAGCAGATGAAGGAATACATTGGAAGGACAGCATTGGCCAGAGATGGCCTCTCCGGTGGGAGCCTGGACTTGCGAATCTCTGAGTTGAGACCCTCTGATGATGGCCAGTACGTCTGCACTGTGCAAGATGCTGGCACCTATGCAGAAACTACAGTGGAGCTGGAGGTGGCAGGTTTGTGGCTGCTTTGGTGTTTTGTGGGGGATGTTCCAGATGGGTTGGTGCGTCTCTCCAGGAGCTCTGCCCCATCCTCACATCAATCCATTGAGTGCCGAAGGCCAGGGATGTCGAAAGCTGTTTGGGTGTGAGGGGTCTCTTCCCATCTGTCTCTACCCAGGACAGGGCATGCACGTGGTCCTGGAGGTGGTTTTGGGGCAGAGTAGAACAGATGCAGTGGCTTTAGCTCTCTGTGGTGTCCTTGTGGTGCAGTGTTGGTGCAGAGACCCTGCCTTGAGGTGCCAAAGCTTGGCCGATTGGCACTCCTCTGCCAGGCTGTTTTATGGGAGATCTGAGGTCATTTGGCATCAGTACTCTCTGGTTCCTGCAGATGTTGGGGTGGGTTTGGTGGTGTGAGAAGCATGTGGCTGGCCCACCACCTCCCTGAGCACCCTGTGATGTGTCTGGCATGGGGTTGGGTCTTAGCTTTTGAGCTGGGTCCATCCCTAACTCAGGGCAACCCCGGGCTCTTCC